AGGATTGAATATTTGACTGTGTCAGCCTCTGCCTTGCTGCTGCTTCGGCTGCCATTGAAACGGGGAGGGGGGGCATGGTATTTGGTAGGGGAATCATTATGTGCTGGAGGAATATTCTAGAAGCTGTCCTGACCATCTCATTGCGCATGTGGAGGGAGTTTCCCGCCAAGGTTAACTGTCCAGCATTCCACCCTGGTGATGTTTTTTGAAGATATCTCCCACCTGACAGTTGGGTGAATTTTAATTGGACTATGGACTGGGGTGCCAAGGGGAGGAGATTGACCTATACATGATATTCATTGCTTTCGCGCCTAATTAACCAGACTCAGCTTAGCTTTGCTACTATTCGTTTGTAATTAGTAAAAGTACACTTAATTTCAAACAAATGGAGTTGAGTGGTTTCTTTCCTGATTATTAAATGAAGCAGCACCTGATAAACTGTCTGTATCATGGGGGAAGAAGCACCATGAAAGGGAAGACAGCTTTTAAGTGATGCTGCTTCACTGATGGGGCCATGATTATGCTTATTCTGCCAAATCTGGGGAGAGGTAATCCCATAGGTAACTTGTTCCCATGCCAAGTAGGGTTTTAAATGTGATAACCAACACCTTGAATTGTACCTGGAAGTTTACTGGGAGCCATCAGAGTGCAGTTTAACATAGGTATACCATGGAGCATCCAATATTATCTGTGCCACTGCATTTTGGATCAGCTGCGTCTCCTAAATGCTCTTCAGGGACAATCTCATGTAAAGCCAAATCGGAGGTGACAAAGGCGTGAGTGACTCTGAATAGCGCTTCCCAATCTAGGAACAGGGACAACTGGCATACAAGATGCAATTGTGCAAAGTTTGCCCTGGCCATGGCTGCCATCTGCTTCTCAAGTGGGACCTGAAAAATGCAGGAGTATCCTCAAATTGCACACCAACTCTGCCTGGAAGTCCATCATCTCATTCGGAATCAGTGAGCCCAAGGCAGAGATGTATAATGGAGTATCATAAGGATACCGATTTTTGACCCCATGCTGACAAATGATTTTGCCCAAAGTTTTCATGTACAGTATATGCTAAATAGGAATGGGGAGAGAATTGAGTTCTATGGAACTCTGCAAAAATGAGACCACGGGGCTAGATTTCCAAACCAATTATTTGTGCAGTGAAGATTTATAAACATATGAACAGTATGAACATCTTTTAATAGCCTATATTGCTTGTACCTTTAAGTATGATGCTATTCCCTATTAATTATCTAGAATAGGGAATAAAAAATAAAAATAAAAACAAAAACCAGTTCATTTTAACAGTGGTAATGTTTTCTGCTGGTCCACTGAGAAAACTTCTGATTTAAATAAGGGAAGAAATGAAATTGTAACATATAGATGTACTTCTGAGATGAATATGCAATCTCTTTCTTCTCAACAATGGTAAGATGACCAATGCCTCTTGCATGCAATTAGTTACAGCTGACTTAGCATGAGTGAAGAACAAAAGGAACATCAACACCGGAGTGTACACATTGGTATATCATGCTTTCCTTACTTGCCATTAGAACTTTCCTATTGCTGCACTCTGTCTCCAACCCAATCCTGAGCTAACAGAGACAAATGTCCAGTTTTATATGTCCACATTCTAGGGGGATAATAAAAACAGGACTAACTGATCAAGGAACATGTATGAGATTCCAGAGAGTGATAAATACGAGACTGTAGACTGTGTGGCTTAAACGGTTCAAATAACAAGGAAAGAGTCACTCATTAAAATGTTCATGCTTTGAGGTCATCAATTCACCATAGATGTTTTTTATAAATGAGGTATTTTAAAATCCTACAATATTTAAGAGGAAAAAACAAGTACTATTGTAGTTTCTTTAGTTTCTAAAACATTTATTCCATAATAATATATTTAATCTGGTATTAAATTAGCTTTTCCTTTTTAGCAATATTCTTTTATTCTTTTTGAGACAAGTTACAAGAACAGAGATAAAACAAAATGTATACACAGTACAATTCTACGTACACCACAGACATACTTTATAGTAAGCAACACTTACTTTACAGTAAGCAATGTCAGTATAAAATTATTTCTTAGTTTAGATTTTTAAAAATATCAGTTTTTCTTCATTTTTTGGACCATTAGTCTAAGATACTGGTGTGAGAGCGTGTGCCTAATTTTGTGAATATTGAATGCATTGAGAAAATTATAAAAATAGCATTCCTTACTTTCCCTAAATTTGAACTGTAAATGGCTTGATTGAACCAGTTCTTAACATTTGTTTAGCTGTGAAAATGTAGTAATAAGCAACAGTGCTTTTATAAATGTGACTCCTATATAAGGTAGTTTTGAAGCATAATTAACTGTGATAAAGATCTTACATTTTAGTGTGCTAATAGCAGTGAAGTACGTAATACTAAATGATTCAAATGGTATAATGTCACCAATATCCCAACTGCCAGAAAAATAAAGGTTTCACACCTATAGGGAGTGAAATATTGTAATCACATGACATATTGTGATTTTTACGCCCTTCACTAAAATGGGGGTGGGCGTGGCCAGTGCGTGACGCATCTGGCCCACAGCCTGCAGTATATAAAATGAGAGCAAACCCCCGTTCCCTACTAATACTCATGATGTTACCCTACTTTGATAATGAAGTGTCTGCAAATAAACAACCGAGCTCAGCGAGCTCCAAGGACCCCACAAATAAAGGATGTCTACATAATGCACATGCAAGTACATATATGATATTTCACATGTGATTTGTACCAACAACCTATTTTTGTTCCATTAGCCTTCACTTAACTTACGGAAATCTCTCTCTAGTATTCAACTGATGGGTCAATCATGAAAGGTGCCCAAAAGAAGACTGTTTCAGGAATTTGCACAAGGCCAAGCTATATGTGCCCAGACACTGTGAAAGCAAAACAAATGAATGCAAATTACTGTTATTATTGGATAGGTTAGAAAATGTGTTAATTAAATAAGGATATGCTAAGTGTTTGAAATATTTTAACAGTCAAAAGAATCTTTTAAGAGAATGGGTTTATGCAATCCTTGCCACTAGGAGGCAGTGTCTCCACCTGACAGGAATTTGAAATAGGAATGATTAAAAAATTGGAAACAATCCAAGACTGATGTAGCTAAACATGTAGGAGGGTTGGCTGGAGAGATTGGTTCATATGCAAGAATGAACGCTAGGATACAGAATGTCAGAATTCAGGAGGTAGACTTGGAAAAAAAACATAAAAGGAAAAGCCATGTAGAAAATAATGCCGAATTTTATATAATATAAATAATATATAAATAGTATATAGTATAGTATATACTAGATTTATATGCAGCTTGACAATGCTTTACAGCCCTCTCTCACGCAGTTTACAGAGTCAGCACATTGCCCCCAACAATCTGGGTCCTCATTTTACTGACCTCAGAAGGATGGAAGGCTGAGTCAACCTCGAGCCTGGTGGTGAGATTTGAACTGTCAAATTGCAGTCAGCAGAAATAGCCTGCAGTACTGCACTCTAACCACTATGCCATCCTGGCTCTTAGTATAGTAATATAAAAATATGAGAGAGCTGTGAATTAAGAAATGGGAACGTGCTTTTTAAAGGGAGTAAAAACATTTTCTGCCAGATTACCTCCCCTTTCTTATTCATATGGGGTCGGCAAGCCTCAGGTTTTGAAAAAAGTTTTTTTTATTTTTAAGCCTTTCCTCTCAAGAAATGTTTAATTATGAGAAGCATTAATTTTGAAAACCGTGAAGTATGTATTTAAAAAGCATAGTATAACTGGGCTGGGAAGGATCTTTGGTTAGATAGCCCACTTAGTCCCACTGTTCACACTGCTCTAAGATTGCTTTTTTTTCTATGCTTAATTACATTGGATGTTCCTTTCAAAGTTTTCTAGTTCTGCAAAATGGGGAGGGGGGGGAAGCATGATATGGTCTCATTTTTATATAGAAGTTGATCCTCCACATCAATAGATCAATCTAATGTACAATAAAATCCTATTCTTCCAAGAAGCAGCCTCAGCAAAGATTAACATTCTCATTCTCCATGTGATCTGAGTCTTCCAACTCAATCCCAGGGACAAGGTTGTAATAATCTACTGATTTGTTCATGTAGAGTCTCTCACGGTCTGCTGAATCTCGCAGAACATCTGTTACACTCAATGTCTCAGCTTCGGTTTCCCCATCTATTGTCTCTTCCTCTTCAGTGACTGGTTTTGTTGTTCCCAACTTTTCTTGATCAAGATGTCTACATGTCAAGGAATCATCAGAAGTCCCCCGTTTAATCTCCACTTCCTCATAAAGGTCTCTGCTGCTCTCCAATAGTGCAGTTGAAGGTTTAAACAAAATTTGGTTTCTCAACAAGTTGTTTTCACTCCCTGCAGCACCATGAACAGCCATAATGGGTGGAATAGAGCATTGGTGATCATCTGATCTATTGGTTCCATTCTTCTCCACTGTAGCCAACTGGCATTCCTTTCTATCATGAAGAGCATAGCCTGTCTTTCTCTTTATCTTCTTTTTGCGCTTGCAAAAGTAACAGGTGACCAAGACAAGAACAGCAACCAGAGGTAAGCAAATAAACAGAGCTGTGAGTCTATGAGTCTGGCACAATTCTGCCTTGGAAATGTTTTTTATGTTTATGCCATAGTAATGTTCTGGGGTGTGACAAATGATGTCAAATGAACTAAGGATATATTTTCCTAGATGTTCAAGAAAATTGCAAGTGCAATCCCAACTGTTGTGAGAGAGACCAAGTGTGAGAAGGGAAGGTTTGAAAATCCCAGAAGGAAGGGAAGTTAAGTTATTGAAATCAAGGTAGATCTCCTGAATGCTGTTAGATGTTTCGAGGAATGATTCACATAAATTCTGGAGTTGATTGTTCTCCAAGTGAATAACACGCAGGCTGGGTGCATGTCTCAGGAAATTATCTGGAAGCCAATTTAATTTGTTATGGTCCAAGTACAGAATTTCCAGGCTAAAAGAATCAATACTTACATTCTTAATATGTGATATATCACAGTTTGATAGGTGCAGCTCTTTCAACCCTACAGTTCCAGCAAAGATGCTCCAGTCCAAAATATCGATTTTAGTCCATGTGAAATTCAAACAACATGTCTCAGGAGCTAATTTAGTCCTAAATTTCTGAAAGGTGATATTTGTGCTGCAGTTGCAGGTCTTTTCCATTGCTCCAAATGTAAATTTGGTTGCTAATAGCATCCCACCAAAAAGTATAACTATCCATTTATTCTGATCTAAATAAAAAAGATATCAATTATTAGACCTTTTGCACAGATTTGCATTATAAATTGCAATTAGAAATCAACTCTTTCTGCAGTTAAGTCACAAATTCAATAAACAATGATTGGTCAAATGCAATTATTCTAAACTGAATTGCAATGATTTACTTCAATAATAATAGGTTATATCCAAATTAACTGTAATGATTATGGAAAGTCTCCTTCCATTCAGAGAACACTGGGATCCATCTGAGGCAAACATGGCTGATACTTCCATTCCACTGCATCCCACTCCATCACTTTTTGTCTCAAGCTGAACAAGTAGGTCCCGCAGCTTTTAAAAGAGGATTTCATCACAATGGAAGTATCAGAAGTCAGATAAGAATTTTTTAAGACTGTTACATCCACCAAGTAGGACAAGATGTTTTCATTATAACCAGAATTTGTACTACACTATGTCTACAAAGTAAAATAATGTTTTAAAATGGTTGCTTGTCACTTTCTGACAAGAGTTCTTAAGAGCGCAGGGAGCAGCATTAACCAATTTGGGGTACAGCATCATAAAACACTATGAGGCTGTTCTATTTATATGATTGCTAATATCATGGGCTGTGTCTCCTAGTATCTTGTACTGTAATGCCAGAGGACAACTCTCAGAGAAGCTCAAAATCCAAGGAATTGATTGCCCACTGGGCACAAGTCCCTTCCCTTGTTCCCAGCATTTTTTTTCCTGTATCCTGAGATATATATATATATATATATATATGCTAATGGTGTGCTTCCTCCTCTCCTTACCCTGCTATAGGTACAAGGCAGGTCCTTTCCTTTAGAAATGAAGTAACTGAAGGAGACAGGAGAACTGTGAATTAATGGATGAGAAATTGTTTGCTTGGAGGAAAACAGATACTTTAAAAAGAGTGAATAAGTAAACATAGACTTCTCCAGGTGTCTAAAACTCCACTGGGAAGGAGATCTCTTAATCTTTGGTTGATGCTGTATATAACAGTGTTATTATGAAGAAAAAACACATCCCTTTTTCATTCCAGAAAAGATGTAGCAACGAAGGCTTCTGCTTGGGGAATGCCGTATGCTGATGGTGTATACATTTGATGATCTCAATTAAGCATTTCCATACTATAGCATGTCACTTGCCCTGAAAAGATCTCGGTCATAATATGTTTTGTTTCATTTTGACTAAGAGCATCAATTTAACATAGCCTCTAAGTGTCATATAAACTATAGCTAAATATACTGAATTATTGAATATATTGTACAAATCCAATAACATTTATTTATTTTTATTTGTTTTATTTCATTTATATATCAAATTTGGAGACTATCCATCTTTCTCACTGAGCAACTTTGTTTACTCAGTAAATCATAGCTTAGATATGTACTCTGCCACTTTGGGCTATCCATAGCTGGAGCAGAGTAAAACAGTTGATTCATATTGTATTTGCTATGAAAGCAAGTAAGCAAGAGGGCATTCTAATGATTCTTCTTATATTCTCTGATCATTCCTGTCTTGTTGAACTTGTAGAACACTGACTGCTTTAAACTGTTTAATTTAGCGTACTCAACTGGAAAAAAATTATCCTACTTGTTGATTCAACTTTTATTTCAGATTATTTGGCAGCAAAATGGCCCTGCTTTCTGTTGCTCATCTCTCACATGTTGAAGAGATTTGCAGGAGCCCCATCTAATATCAGCAAATAATTACTGTATACCAAAGGAACGATGCTACTTTACAAACAGCAACCAGTTCTTTCCTGTTGCTAGGAAATAATCACAGCATGATTAAGTTGTAGATGGATTAGTCTGCGGTCAGTTTCACAGACTAAAGTCATAATGTGACTTTGACTTAAGATATTATTTGAACCATAAGCAAGCAAATTTATAGACATATTTCCCATGAAACTCCTGCACATCTACATTTAAAACCTCATAATTACTCAAGAACAATTAAGCCCTTTGATCACTATATTTTTGCATTACAATATAAATTATTTTAGAAATCATTTTGTCTAGTGAAACACACAGAGTACAATAGGAAGAAACATGAAAGCATTTAACATTTTCAAGTACTGTGTAGTATATGCAGGATGCACTTGCAGATGAAACTGAAGTTTGAAACCGTCAAAAGATATTGCAGCCTATTTACGATTAATTGCCTGAAAGTTGTGCTGCAACATTCAGGAAGAGCTAATTGGTTTTATGTTAGCATCTCCCAATAATTTCCAACCAGGTTTAATATGGATCCAATCACTGCTATGATTTTTTAATGTTTTCTTTCTGCCATTGTGTTGAATCGGAAGTTGTGGTATGGTGGCCCCTGTGCTGGAGACACTGATTTAATCTACATACTGCAGGAACAATTAGCAGGCTTTGAGCCAGAATAGGATCCCACCCTAGCTCTTCCTGACCAATGACATCAGCTTTTCCTTCTCAGGTTTGGTTCTCAAACATCCCTGACACTTAAAATAGAGTATTAAGATCAGTAATAGTCATTTGGAGTCAGGCAACATCAAACTGAATGAATTAATAAGTAACAGTTTCCAGAAGAATTGACAACATAAAGGGAGAAACACCGAAACTCATTACACTTTTAAGGTTAAGTCACATCAGTACTGATTTTAATGAAAATTGAAATATGTTTATGCTAGATATTTTGGACTACTACACCCATTAACACAAATAAACATGGCCAAATAAAAAAGTGTTAGGGAGATTGTAATCCCAACCTTTTGGGAGGCACTGGTTACCACCCATTGGAAAAAGAACGGATAACCTGATGGGAGACTATATAATTTAGTACCCAATGTATTGTATCAATTTATGCTAAGTCAGACAAAAATAATTAATGGGAAGACTTTTGTAGAAAAGATATAGCTTATACCTTTCCCACAAAAGTCTTCCCATTATTTATTGGGAATTATAATTATATAACCTACACTGTCTGGTTGTTAAAATCCTGGATTTTAAATGGATAGTTTATTCCACAAATACGCTTTTGCTGCACAATTTTTTTGAAGCATCTGCTCCTGAGTATTCTATTTGATCAGTGATATTCACAAGGCAGCCTGTGATCTGTCTACAGTTCTTTCATAACTAGAACTACCATTATATGGAGCAAGCCGGCATTGGCACTGGTAACAGTTCCTCTTGAGTTACCATTCTAATGTTAGTAATCTTTGCTTGTTGCTGGAATGGATCGCTAGTGTCACTTGGCCTCTTCCCAACATATCACTGACAGTATTGAGAAAGGACCTTGAGTGAGCAAGGAGGCAAAGAGGTACTCTTATACTGTTTGCTGCTTTTGCTACATGGCACATGCTGATATTTGTTGCCGCAATTGCACATTTATTTGAACAGAGAACATGCAGGTGATAGATGGGACAGCAACAGTTGTTAAAGGATAGTTTTGTCTATGCTACATGCTCTTCTCTGTGTCCCTAAGTGGCCTGCTGTCCTTGGGTGCAATGAAAGATGTTATCGCCTCACTACTATTGATGATAGAATCAACTGATAGCTAATCTGTTTTTGTGTATACAATGGAAACCTCAAACATAATAGAACTTGTCCGCTAATACTGAAGTTTTTTTTTAAAAAAATGTATCCCAAGAAGCACAAATTGCTTTCAGATTAGCAAATGAATCACTGATCTACTTGTCAGTTTCCTGTAAAGAGAAAAGTTACCTCAATATGTTTTCTGGTTATACCTAGAGGGGCAGGAAACAGTTGCCTTCAAAGCGGAAAACATCTTTGGAATATTCTTGGGATACATTTTTTTAAAAAAAAAACTTCAGTATTAGCGGACAAGTTCTATTATGTTTGAGGTTTCCATTGTA